AAAAATCTGATATAGGTATCTGAGGTGTCTTCTGGTTTATATCTGCCTCATTCTTTCTTAGACCTATGGGCCAATCTCGAGTTACCTCTATGAGAGCCTTTTGATTTCTTTTCCCATTTTCTTGCAGCCAATATTCTTCGCAGGATTTGGTCACATTAGTCTCTGTTGAGGCAATGATTTCTGAGTATTGAATCTTAACCTCTTCTTTTACCTTGCTTTTTTTAATTGCTTGCTCTAAAGGATCTTGGAAATTTCCTTCAAGCTTACCAGGAACCTTAGCTGAACAATTTGGAATTCCAGTCTGATTTATCCAAGAAACCTCCTTATAGGTCCAATTCTCATTTGAAGACCACTGTGATTGAACAAGTCGTGGAGTAGTTAATCTGGCTGAGAGCATTTTTTGATGTGATTTTTCTCTCGAACAGTGGAAGAGAGGTAATTGAAAACCCTGCACTTTCTTTTTCTTCTTGATCACTCTATAAGGTTTGGCACCATATTTAACTGAATAAGGCCTTACTGTATTAACCTTAGCTTCTTTCTCGACTTATGTATTGTCAGAGCCTCTTATCTTTCCATTCTTGATAGCCATTTTGATCATTTCTCCACTCACGATGATGTTAGAGAAATTATTAGGGATAACCCCTATCATGTGATTAATATAGGGAAATTTTAATGTACTGATGAACAAAGTAGTGAACTTTCATTTAGTCAATGGTGGATGCACTTGAGAAGCAATGTCCTTCCATCATTGTGAATATTATCGAAAACTTTCATTGCACTTCATATTCATGTTTTGCAATATTGTTCGATTAGGGTCCATATCAGTCATGTGCTTGTATTGACCTAAAAAAGCTTGAGCTAAGTCTTTCCAAGAACGTATTTGAGTACGTTTTAGCTGATTATACCATTTGGATGCAGACCCCGATAAATTATCTTGGAAACAGTGGATCAACAACTTTTCATTCTCCAAATAGCCAGTCATACGATGACAGTACATAGTGATATGATATGAAGGGCCTGTGGTCCCATAATACTTTTCAAAATCTGGAACTTTGAAATTTGGTGAGAGAACTAATTCGAGGACCAAACTCAGCTCTTTGGCGTCAAACCCATAAAATGACTCAACTGTATCTCTAGAAGCAACACAAAATTCGTTTGGCTTCAACCCAGAAGCAGTAGGACAAACAGCGGGGAATGATGCTCCAACTTGATATTGTGAGTTCTTAACAGTGAAATAAACTGGTGATTGAATTTCCTGGTGTACAGAGGTGTGCTCAGGAATGTGAACAGGTGTAACACCCAAAGGATTTGTGGGGTTTTCAACAAGACTCTTTTAAGTGGTCTGGTGCTTCCAAATCATTTCTTTCATATTGTTCAGTAGATCGATATAAGAATTTGCGATATTAGCTTCAACTTGTGCTAACTTTCTCCTCAATTCTTCCTGCCTCTCTTTTTACTCTATCTCAAATTTGGCTAGCTTATCCTCAATTTCTTTAGACATTTTTCTTGTATCGTGCTAAGTGTTCTTGCTACAAGGAAGAACCAATATCACTTCGGTTGAAATCCTTATTTTAATGAATAAATGTTTTCATATATGATGTAAGTTTATAGATGTAACTGTGCAAATATGCAAATGCATAAAATGTGAATGTAGAAAAAATAAAAATTGTGCAATAGAAAAGCAAACAAGAAATGCAAAATGAAAATGCAAAGATGCAAAATGCAAATGCATGTATGAAAAGGTGTTACTCAAGAGTGATCATCTTATAACAGATTTCATTGAACACAAAAGTTTCTATGCTTCAAACAAAACTTTACATATAGGGGACAACTTTTAGTTCTATCTTCAACAAAACTTTTCATATAGGGGATAACTTTCCCATTTTCTTCTCTAAAGCCAAGTTAGTCTATTAGCTTATGGGCCATATTGCTTGTCTGGACTGCGGCTTCTTCCATGACATTCTTTTTTTCCTTCATCTTCTGTGTCACTTCTCGGAGTTGCTCGTTTTCCATTGTAAGAGAACCTTTCTGTCCAAAAAGTTCTTGGACAAGATCTTCATATATGTTGCAGTTCTTTTTCAGTTTGGTGACCCCTGTTATCCACTCGTCTGGAGTGTTTCCTATGCCAGTTTTTTGAAAGGCTTGACTGATATTTTGGAAATCTTCATGCATGATTTCCACTTCTGTGCTCAATTTCTTGTTTTGATCCTTCAAATAACATACTTGAGCTTCATAAAACCCTCATCTACTCTACGTGTCCCGACTGATACTCTTACCGTAGACTGTTTTTGGTATCAATCTGGCAGGATCTTTGTGTAATACTTTTGGTATTAATATAACAAGATCTCTATGTACATTGCTCGCTTCTATCCTCGGAGTTTCCTTAGGATGTCTTTCCTTGGCCACATCATATTTTGTTTGATCATAAAACTTTTTGTCCATTTATGATTTCTTTCCAATTTGATGAACAGTCTTTCAAGTCAACACCTTTTGGTTATGCCATGATCATGTAATGAAAACAAAAGAAATCAATATAAACAAGGTAAAGCAAAATAACATGTATGAAAAATAAAAATAAGAATGGAAAAAATAAATTGGTCAGTACCAATTAATGGGAAGAAAAGAAATTATATCTATCACGGTATTTAATATATCCTAACCTCATGCTTTCTAGTTCCATGCTTTGTTTGGAAAACAATTAAACTAACCGCATGATTACTAGTTCACATGCATTTATTTAGGAAAAAAATAAAATAAATTAAAAGCTAAAGCTTATTTCTCCTTTGTGTAAACCTATGGGCAGAGGTTAAGTACTGTCTTAGATCAGGAGAATTTCTAAGGTTTATTATATGCAGGGTTTCAGTTCTAAGAGTAAAGGTACCCGAATTGTCCTTGTTAGTGCCCCCTTGGGCTGCCAACCCTCAATCCTAGTCCACTACAGACTTAAGTGGATTGAGTTCAATTCGAGGGGACACATTTCTCTATGCCTGACATGAAGAATAAATTCCCACGAAGATATAGAGCATATGAACCCCGAAAGCTACTTACTAGGTCTGACACGGAGAATAAATTCTCACGAAGACGTCGCTTTCACTCCACTTAAAAGGGACAAGCTTGATTATAAAGCTTATGTTATGCAATGCACGTGTTGTGTGTGAGGAGAAATATTCAAACCTTTGACAAACAAATAAATAATGAAATTTAACTTGAAAATAAAAACACTAATAGTAGATATTATGAAAATAATAAGTATATATAAAATTTTGAAAAGAAAGAATTATAAATTAAATATATCAATTTTTAATTTCTATTTAATAGAGACAATTTATAATTAATTTCAAAGCTTGACCAGGTCCCCAGTGGAGTCGCCAAGCTGTCGTAACCGGTTTTCGCCCGGGCATGAATTTTTACTTGGCGGGAAAATTAAAATGAATAAATAAATGATTTTGATTTAAAATAAAATATTTTGGGAGTCGCCATTGACACTTTGGGTTAGGTAGGTCAAATACCTAAAAATAATCTTTTAAAAGAGTTTTTAAGAAAACATCAACTAAATGATAAATTGATCCGCGTTTAACCAAAAATTCATTATTTTTAGAAATAAAAAGGGATTCGTGGTCGATTACGTTTAAGGAAGGATTAGCACCCCTATAACGCTCAAAATTGGTACTTATTAATTATAACTTGTCTCTATTATTGGAAATTTAAAATTTCAAAAATATATTTAATTTATAATACTGATATTTCAAATTTGTTAATATAATTTTAAAAATATATTAATATATATATATATCTTTATTTTTATAAATAAGATATTTATTTACTTAGAAATATCAGATAAGGACTTCTAGGTTCTTTAAGACAGCCAATTTCTCAAAATTAAAAAAATAATAAATATTAATAAAACATTTATCTAAAAATAATTTAAAAATAGATTAATATATAAAAGTAAGATATTTATTTATTTAAAAATATCAGAAAATGGACATTCAGTTGCTTTAAGACTGTCATTTCTTAATATTGAAAAATAAATATATATTAAAATATGATTATTTTAATAAAAATTAATTTATAAAATTAAATTTATAAATAGGATTTTAATAGAAAATTAGAATAAATAAATATTATATATTTATATTTATATGACTTGAGATAATAATAATGAAAATAATAATTTAAACATATATAAAAAATAATAATAAAACAAAATAAAATTATAATAATAATAATAATCAAAATAAAAATAAAAAAATTAAAAGTAATAATATTAAATTGAAAATTATTAAAAATTTAGGGCCAAAAATGAAAATTAATGATTAAAATGTAACAAATTAAAATTAAAAGCTCTAATTCAAAGTATTATGAAATATAATAAATAACACTGTAATGTAACCATAATATTTAACACGAGACTAAAAAAAAATATCAAAATTATAAGGGACTGAATGAGTATTTACCCTAAATATTATATAAATAAAGTTAATGACTAAATTATAACTAAATAAAATTCGATTACACAATTAATATATGCAAAAATCTGATCCGGGTGACCAAAATAGAGTTTTATAAAATAAAAAGGACTACGCACATGGTTTGCTCATTCCCCAAATTACACATATGCCCCTCACAAAAACTACGTCGTTTTGGTGAGGGTATAAATACCCTTTAAACGGCCTTTTAGGCCAATTTTTTTTCATTTTATATTTTCCTTTCTCTCTCTAACAGAGAGAAACTCCCTGGCTTCTCTCTACATTTCTCACGCCGGAGAGTAACTGATCCCGGCCGGCCACCGAATTTCGGCTCTGATCCCCGCCACGGTGGCCGAAATTTGGAAAAATAGCCTAAACCAAACCTCTATTTCCCCTAAACCCAATTCTAGTTTTTTTGTCTCTTAAAACTCTTTCAATAGACGTAGATCTAAACAAAAACAAAAGGTTTACCTCGGTTTACACAAAATTTTCCGGCGTCGTTTGGTCTCTCCGGGGTAAGTTCGTCTTTCCTTAATTTTTCCTTCGGTTTTTCTCTTCTTGTTTGCTGTTGGTGTTGCTGTTGTTGTTGTGGTCGTTGTTTGTGTTTTTTTTTCTCGTCGTTTCTTGCTTTCTGTTCTCTTGGGTTGCTCTCTGTTCTCTTCCTTTCGTAGGTTTGGTGGTTTTATAACCACCACCGAGCTTGCCTTGGACCGGATAATAGAGCTCTTGGTGGTGAGTCACCAAACTATGTGGTGACTCACCATAAGGCATTGACATGGGTGGCCATCTGGAGACTTCGGCAGCAGTAGCTGGAGGAGTGTCGGCACCAGCTGGACGAGGCACTTGACAGAGGCGGCGTTGCGTGGACGTTCTGGAAGCATCAGTAGCGGCGACGTGGCCCTAGGGTATCATACCCTAAGGTTTTCATCTGGTGCATTGGTGGCCGTTGGATCTCTCCAGATCCAACGATAAGGAGTAGCTGGCGGCTGAGGCATGAGATGAAATCCTAGTTGGGTTTAGGGTTTCCCTTGGGCTCCTGGATCTGGGTTGTAAAATGGGCTTCGGTTTGATGGGCTCTATTTTTTGGGCATGTTTTTTATAATAATATTAATAATAATAATAATAATAATATAATAAAATAATAATAATAATAGTAAAATAATAATAATATTAATAAAAATAAAAAACAAATGGATAAAAAATTAGTATCTTCACATAACCCACGTCTCCAAGTTACTGACGTACCACAAGAAATCTTGACCCTTGGCTTGCCCCATGTGCTTCAGCTCTTGCACCGATTTGCTCAGCCTGTCCACCCCTTCACTCATCTCTTCCATACAATCTTTGATTGCTTCGTATTCCCTCTTCTTAAGCCCCTTGAATTTCTTCATTTTGGAGACGAATGCCTGTGTGGCCCTAGCCCTGTCCAGGCTCACCGACAGGGCTGTCTGAGCCAGTTGCCGTGGGCTCTGCTGGATGGAAGGAGCAGACGCAGCCAGAGACTGAATGCAAAGGGCTGGGTATTTAGTGGTACTACATGAAGCCTTGACGAAACTCGAGGCACGAGAGGTTGCAGCGACTGGAGATCTGGCCTCACAACTGGTGTATACAAGGGAAAGCAAGAGCAGAATAAAGGAATATATTGCCATTTTTTTTTCTTGAGGAGCTTTGGAAATTTCAGACTTGTTACGAAAGGGGAGTGGCAGTGTTTTATATATTTATAGAGGGTCGGGGAAACTATATTGGATTTAAGCATGTGATAAAAAAAAGGGGTAAAATACACAAATGATCCTCTGAGTACAGGATACTATTGTATTGAGTTCTCTAATTATTAAAAATTAAAAAATGATCTTCTGACTATAGGAAATTGCTTTGTTGAGTCCCTCAAACTAATATTTTCTGTTAAAAATTTAACGGTAGTCTGAGCTAGACATTAACATATGAACTAAAATATGATAAAATTTGATCTCATAATCTCAAATGACTATCATATCTCAATCAGCATGTTAACATCCAACTTAGTTGATCGTTAATTTTTTAACAAAAAATGACGAGTTTAGAATATAATGAATAGTCAAGTGATTATTTTCTAACTTTTAATAGCCGATGGACTCGACAAAGCAACTCTCTATAGTTGAAAGACCATTTTGTAACTTTTAATAATCAGTGGACTCAACAAAATAGTATCATATAGTTGGGAGACCATTTGGGTACTTTACCTAGAAAGAGATGTAGTACAATCTAGGGTTGTAAACGAGTCGAGCTCAAGTATTACTAAGCTCGACTCGAAAGTTTTATAATTAAGCTCGACTCAACTTGAAAACTCGCGAGCATAAAATTGTCAAGCTCGACTAGAACTCAAAATAAAAAAATTGAAGCTTGACTCAACTAGAAAGCTCGAGAGCTTAAAATTTTCAAACTCCTCTCAAAATAGAAAAATTAAAGTTCGACTCGATCTCAAACCGGAACCTTAAATACATGAAATCCTTATATTGTTTTTTTTAAAAATAACATATAAATGTTAATATTATTAATAATTTAATTTAAAAAATTTAAAAATTTAAAATTTATTTTTTGTTTCAAATAGCTTACGAGCTTTTCGAGTCAAATATCAAACAATTCGCTTTGGCTCTCTAAAAATTCAAGTCGAGTTCAAACTCAAATCAAATCAATTCGTTTCAAATGTTGATCAAACTTTAACTAAATCTATCTCAAATAACTCACAATCTATATCTCATTTACAACCCTATTACAATATGTTGTAAAAAAAGAATCCAACGCCGATTCTTTTACTCTCATTTCACATTGGATTTAATTAAAAATATAGGGCCTAAAGCTGCCGACTTTTAAAAAAGAAAGTGAGAAAAGTAAGGATGGCAAATGGGTACAATTTCGTGGATTCCGCACCGTATCCCCTCCAATTGGGGCGGGGATGGGTATAACTTTAGTGGGTAATGGGCGGGTGTGGATTTAGAAAGTGGTACCCGTCGCAGGTAGTGGGCTGGAGATGGCTTTGAGACCTTACCCGCCCCGCATTCGCCCGACCACTAAATATCCATTAAATTTTGGACCATTATGAATTTAGGTATAATTTTAGAGACTAATTTATAAATCTTAATATTGTATAAGATATAACTTATAATTTAACCAAATATTAGGGATAAGTTTATGAATCAATTTTTTTCTTTCAAACTTCTCGTGTTTTCCTTGTTGGTTACTGCGCTGATATTCTGGTAGTTCTTCTTCTCTAAGTTTCAAACTCTGGTCTCCAGCTCATTCAGGTACGCCTTCTTCCTCTTCTTTACTCTGGTCTCCTCTACGGGTAGTAGAGTTGTATGCCACCTTATACACAGATCCAAAACCACCTTCTCCAATCTTGTTTGTTGCATCAAAGTTGTTTGTGGTCGCTTTAATTTATCGTAAGGTGAATACTCCGGTTTTCAGATCTAATCCTCTTAGTTCTGTTCAAGATACACGACCAATAGTCAATACTCTGTTGTTTTGATTTTGATATTCTGCTGAATCTAAGAGCATTCATATATTGATTTTGATTTTTAAGAAACACATTATATGTATGTATATTGAATTATCGATTTTGATATTCTTCTTAATTTAAGTGTATTCACACATTCTGCTGATTTTGAAAATTATGAATAATTTATGCATTATAATTTGTATAATCATGCATTTAAAAACAAAAAAAATCTTTAAAAAAAGCCCAAAATCAATACAACTTTGATTTGATCTTCTTTTTATGGATTGAGATAATGCAAAGGTAAAGATCCAAACACCGGGCTATATTTTACGCATCCTAGATCATTTGCTTAGATTTGTATAAGCTTTTTGGTTGCTGGTGTAGGGAAAGAGATGAAATAATGTTTGAATTTTGGGTAGGTGAAACTTTATTATAATTAGAAATAGGTGCAACAACAAACAATGAGTCACTGTTTAAATAACTCAGAGAAAGTTGTGTCCATAATATTTTTACAACTCAAAGAATGAATTTGTTTAGGTGTCTATCCAGTATTTGTAATTCTTATCGCTGATGGTTTGTTGAAGTTTTGGGCTTATATAGGAAGATGATTAGGACAGATAATGACTATTGGTAGATGATTTAGCTTAATATGGTAGTGTGGTTGGTGGTATATAAACGGAGAGGTGGGAGACATGAAATCCACAAAAACAACGTAGGTTTTGATGTTTATAGACGATGGTGTCGTATATAGTAAGTCTCAATTTAGGGTTGTACGGACTGGTAAGACGTGATCATGCCTTAACTGCAGACTTCTTCTGCGATAGCTCAGGATGAATAAGTCGTGCCCACGCCTTATGCGAAAACCTCATTTGGTCTTCGAATATAGCCTAAATTTTTTTGGGTTTTCAGATAATCCAAACATGGTTTTTTATCGATCTATATCCAATCTGATAATCTGAAAAAAAAAATTCTGATACTCGATTCGAACTATCCAAAAATTGAAAAAATGGATTGGATATCTGAAATTTTGGATTAGATCGGTCGGATCGGTTTTTTTTGCACACCCCTAGCTGTCAGGTGAGTCTAGCCGAGTACGTCTCCAGTTGGCTAGTGGGTGTGGGGATGAATTTGAGAATATACCCATGTGGGCGGGTGTGGATTTGAAATTTTTTACCCATCATAGGTGGTGGACGAGTGGTGGATTGAAAAATATTAGGTGGGTATGGGGATGGGGAAGGGGGTATCTGCACCCGACCCGCCTGTATTCCATCCCTAGGGAAAAGGTGAATGGGTGAGGCTGCTACTGCTGTTGAATAATATTAAAATAATAATAACCAAAGCTATGGAATATATAGTCAAAGACCAAAGCAATTAATAATTCATAATTTCTACTTCAAGCTTGACCAATTTTTCTACTACCTTAGATTCGGGAGAATTAAGATAGATCTACGTGAGCAATGAAATGAATCCGGGATGGTGAAGTTCTAACTTGTTTACCTCAGAGAAAAGGAGCGAGTTTCAATCAACTAAAAGGGATAGATGCCAGAGTAGGATAGACAACGCCTATAGTTCAAGCTGAGAGGTATTGCTACAACAACAGTCTGACAAACCAAGGGTTGTAGTTAACGCTGAGGAGTATTGCCATAGAAATCGTCTTAGAATACCTAGTAATCCTGTCGAGCAGCTTAAACAAGTCATAATAATTCATTCTATACTTAGAATAATTATTGCCAATACAAAAGTTTAGCATAAGTGCTTTGTGAGAAGTCTGAGTATGTGAGGTTGTTTGCATTATATTTAAATCAACACTTGTTTTATTTTATTCCAGCATTCTGTATATTTATTTTGCCTCGACCAAACTTTTCTACAATTATTATATCACTTATTTGTTTTATTAATATTAGTTTTTAAGTTGATAATCCAGTAGGAATTAGTTTGTGACCACTAGTTCTAGTTGTGGTGAAGATAAATTTCTAATCCAATCCCTGTGGATACTCACTCGCTCACTACTATATTACTTGATTTGATTGTGTATACTTGCACAAAATTGCTTGCCTTAGCATATACATTTACAAGCGATCAATTTTTTGGCACCGTTGCCAGGGATTGGCAACTGAAATTTTTTTTATTCGCCATAACAAGTTCTTGTCACCTTATATCTAGTATAATGTAGTTTATTATTTTCTTTTGTAGGTTTTTATTATTGCATGACCTTGAGATCTGTTGGTAAACCTTTGGAACCATTCGACCCCGAAGTTGAGAAATCGTTCAGACAAAGATTACATGCCCAAAGAACCAGAGAACATTTAAACCAACTTCAAATGCAAGACAACATGGGAGATCTAGGAGATCCTAATACAACAATTAATATTCAAGTTGGAAGACCAAGAGCGATAAGAGATCACTTGAACCAATTCTCGATGACATCAATCCAAGCATAGTGGCACCTGAAATACAAGCAACTCATTTCGAACTTAAACCGGTGATTTTAATATTCTAAACTCTATTGGCCAATTTGGTGGTTCACCAAATGAGGATGCTAGACAGCATGTCCGTGCTTTCCTTGAAATATGTGACTTGTTTCAACAACAAGGAGTATATGAAGACGTTCTTAAACTGAAACTTTTCCCTTACTTCCTATGAGATAGAGCAAGATCTTGGCTTAGTGGAGTTCCTTCTGGCTCAATGGAGTCATGGGCAGACTTATGCAAGAGTTTCTTACTTCGATATAATTCGCCCAATATGAATACACAGCTTCGCAATGACATTGTAAGTTTTCACCAAGGAGATGATAAATCAATGTATGAATGTTGGGATAGGTACAAAAGCCTAGTTCGCAAATGTGTCAACCATGGATTTCATGACTGGAAACAAGTGGTGATGTTTTAGAACGGAGTCAATGCACCAACTCGAATGATGTTAGATGCCTCAGTAAATGGCACCTTACTGGAAAAATCACCCGAAAAAGCCTTTGATATCCTCGACATGATAGCAAACAATGATTATCAATTCCCAAATACAAGATTGGGAACAGGTAGAAAAACATCTGGAGCATATGAATTAGAGGGCAAGGATTCGGTAACTGCTCAACTTTCTGCCATAACTAATATGTTGAAAAATTTGCAACGACCTAATGAGGTAAGAGAATTCAATGTGACCAATCACACATGTATATTTTATCCCAGTAACCATCATGAGAGTGAAT